CCGGGCTCAGGGCGCGTGCTCAGCCCAAAGACGCCGGGAGTCGGCGGTGCCTTCATTTTTTGGTTTTTTTTTTAGTGAATCTATTTATTGATACCTATTGTATATGGTTCAATGAAGTAATCCATAAAGATAAAAACATTTTTTCTTTTGGGTATCACCATGGTCTACGTAAATACTCAAAGTCAGAATCGTCTGCAGGAATCACTTCAAGTCACACAGTAAGGTTTACAGACCTGAATTCGTCTCTCATTAAACAGTGACACGTATGTATTCACGCCCATTGGCTTTGGAATCTATGACTACTGGGAATGTGGAGTAAAAGTAATGCATAAATCTAAATCAAGGGAGAGGGTATCAACCATCAACAAAAAGAAATAAAGATGAATTAATCTCCTAGATGAGGTACCACAATTGATACTTGGAGTCAGAATACTGGAGATGAAGTTTTGTGTTTGTTTTTAATGGGACAGTTCGTTGTGAAGCACCTCCCTACGCCAGGGGAGAGAGCCATGGACCACTGCCTAGTGGGCCATTGCTCTGGGGCAGAGGAAGGAGGGTGGACTTACAATAGGGAACCACTGCTCCTAGTGGAAATACCGTGTTAAGTTCCTCTGACCCTCTGTACCTGAGACTTTTGTCAACCGACCAATGTATAACTTTGTGTTCTGTACGCTTCTGTTTTAACATACCTCATTTAATACACACTGTTAACATTCACATTGTGCTCCCGGCCAACAGCACTGTAACTCACAACTGAATAAAACTTATTAAGCTTACTTAAATATATGCATTTCTCCCTAAGGCACATACAGCCTTTCGGCACTAAGGTACTAGACAGCACTTTGGCACTATGCTTGGAGGCCATTTTAAGTAGCAAAATCATCCTCCAAAACACACAGAAGTCTGTGAGTCTGTGGGAGGGGCACTTGTTTACACTCTGAGAGCTGACACAAAGAAGGTAGAGATTAGCCTTGTTGGGTGGTGTGCACCTGTCCACCCCAATTTTTTCAGGGCTCTGTGCATGTCTGGGAGGAACCATGAAGCACTGTGTTGACTCTGGTGGTGTCACAAAGAAATTTTAGTGTGGAGGCAAATTCACTAATATGGAATCTGTGAGTAAAAAGCTGTGTATGTATTTTCTAATTCGAAACCTATGGGCCATACCTATAGGTTGATAAAGCAGTCCCATTTTCAGAGAAAGGACTAGAAATTCACAGTCCTCTGCCTGGCCTGGCAACGTGACTAGAGAACATGACAGGGACTGAGAAATCTCAGCCCTTGCCTCTCCTCCTCAGGTCTTCAGCTGTCACAGAGCTCCCCTTTTCTTGCCAGCTACAGTCTTCATTTGCAAAACACACTGTAGTATTTATTTACATTTGATCTTAAATGATTTGCTATATTTCTCAGGGCTTTTTTTCCCCTTTCTTAGATGGTAAAGGCTGTCAGGGTCCAGTGTGGGTCTTAGGTTGAGCCTCTCATATTTCCTGTCAAAGAGCCTTATACAAATTCATAGAGCAAACAAGATTTACTGAATAAACAGTTAACTAACCAGTAGGTTCCATTTTATCTCTCAAAGCATAGTTACTCTCAGAGCACAGACTAATAAACATGAATGGGCTCTTACATTTTTGCTTGAAGGAAGGAACACTCATGATTTCCTGGCACGTGTATAAACATGGCAGTGTTTTTTTGTCATATTGAAGATACCCCTGGTTTGTAATCATTGCCATGAAAACTGCTGTACACAACACCAAGCATAGGGCTTTTAAATGGCTTTCAGTGATAGAGACCATGGGTGCGCCAAGTGACGAACCAGAATCAATGATTACATTGCTTTTAGAGTCTATTCAGTTGTTCTGGTCCTCTCTACCCTGGACATGAAATGCCAGGTTAGAGGTGACTCCTGGCTATTAAAAGGAACTAAAAATAGTTCATGACTTCGCAGCTTGAGTCATCTTCACCTTCTTCCAGACTCTGACTCATTTTTTCTGATTTATGACGTTTTAAGGTACTGCCCCCTTAATGTTTTTATCACAGTTTATAATTATAAAATATTAATATTTATTCAGAAATAGCTACTGGATATCTTCAATGTGCCGGGAGTGTGCTAGATGCTGTGGATGCAGGTAGAGGCATTGTCCTTTTTACCCAGGGAGTTCATGGTCTGGTGAGGAGGAGGGAAGAGTAGATGCTTTACAAAGCAGGGCAACATCATGCATCTGTAAAGCCGAGCGTGCACATGAGCACACTAACTCAGACAAGGGAGAGGG